TCTTCCTCTTCCTTCCCCCCACCCCTCCCGCCCCATCTCCTCAGCTGCCCTTTATGGCTGGTGTTATTAGCTGAGGCTCCACGGGAATGAAGAAGTCAGTGGCTGACAATTTCATACCCATCCAGTTGCTTCTAAATAAATGACAACAATTTAAATTACATTGAGGTCAGCTTGGACTTTGCTCTTCTTTAGATAACAACAAAGTAATCCTGCCAGGAGTAAAATAAGAGCATAGCTCAAGGGCTTTCTTGAATGAAGGCATTAGAGGAGACTTAATAAAAGCCATAATGATTCTTTAATAGATCATCGCCCCATTCTGTGCCATTAAAGCACTTTTAAAGGTGACTGAGCAAGTTGGATTTTTACTGTTTTTTTTTTATGATGCATAAATACAGGAGCAGAGTGGTTAAGACGCCCAACTTCATTCAATTGGGAAGCTAATCATGGAGGTCTTATCACTAGCAATCCAGCCTTCTGCTTCCACCCTCCCAGGGACCCAGCCTGCAGACAGCTAGTCTGTTATCAGGATAATTCCATGCACTTTGAGCACTTCCTATGTGCCATATGCCACAGGAACTCTAAAGATGATTAAAGTCTTAAAATGAAGTTTGCAGTCTCCAGGAGAATTTCTTTTCTACTTTTTTGTTGTTTCTTCTACCCTTCCCTATGTCCTTCTTTTTGTCCTCCCATCATCTTCATAAACAGTTCATAGCTGCTTTGACAGATATTCAGTGCAAGGTATCAATCAATGGCAGAACAGACTCTCTGCTTTTCATCCAGAAGTCAAATCAATATCAAAGAGAAAGGTTAGTGTTATGGGAAATCTTTGCAAAACCTCCAGAAAGGGGACTTTTGCCAACCCCTCCACCTTATGTCTTTTTCTCTTGAGAAGATAGACTCCTATCTTTGTTCTCAGGTGGAATTCCCAGGATCTCTGCATCCTTTCCAGAAAATAGGAACTGGAGAGATAGCTCAGCAAGTAGGACACTTGCCTTACATGTGGCTGACCTGAGTTCAATCTTTGACATCGCTATGGTCCCTCATGTATCATCATGAGTTATGATATCTGAGGTCAGAGCCAGGAGTAACCCCTAAGAACCACTGTGCACACCAAAAAAACAGTAACAGCAACCCCTCCAAAAAAATTTAAAAATCCAAAAAGATAGAATATACAGTTTTGCTGAGAAAAAAATGGAGCAAATGACTCAAATTCCTTTGAAGAGTTTCCTCTGGTTAGAAACAATGCCTCTCCTCCATCGTCTTTTTATTACAAGTTTTGTATCCAAAATGGGTTGCATAAGGCAATTTATTGAAGTGCAGAAGGAAAATCTCAAACATTTACTTATTAATATTATTCAAGCAGACCTTTCTAAGAAATTTTCAAATGTATAATGCATACACTATTAGAGTCATCTATGGATAAAACAAATGACTAAATGTGCATATATTAAGAATGGTTACTCAAAAATAATTTGCTGTCTGGTGTAAGATCAAAACTTTAGAGATGATGACTTTAGAGTCAGGAAACACACAGTTAAAATGTTCTTCATGATTGATTTTCAGTCATACAATGTTCTAACATCAAACATGGGCATCACTGATAATCAAATCACCTCCTCTTCAGGTAGAAGACAAAAGCAGTGAAACTACCATTTGCAAGGGGTGAAAATAGCAAGGGCCTTGTGATCAGATTCTGACATAGGGAATTAGAACACTAACCTGTCCCAAATATGATGAGGGAGCCATTGAAGTCTTAAGCAAAATAGGACAGAGAAAGAACTGATTTAAGCCTCAATATATCAGCTCATCCCACATGCATCTGAGAGGAGAAAGGTCACAGAAAATAGGGTAGCTGATATTAATGACGCTGTCGACTCCATGCATAATGCATCTCGAGTTATCCCAATATGAGAAGTCTAGATATGGCACAAACTGAACATCATACCCAACACTGCCCAACGTTTAGCTGTGGTACATTCTTCACACCTTCAAAGCTACATGAAACTTCAGCTCTTCATCCAGCTTTGGGTTCATTCTAATGTTACTCTTGTTTCATTGAGTTTCCCTTAGCATCCCATCTCTGTCTGCCTGAGTGAATTCATTCTTGGGTCTTGAGTTCCTGGATGATAGCACATGTTTAACTTCCCCCTCCAATTTAGCCTCAGGGTAGCCGAGTGTGACAGTACTTAATATAATGTACTTGTATTTTATATTATTTTTGCCGTGTCAGGTATTAAACCCAGGTCTGATGCATGTCAGGCATACACTTTACCATGAAGCCACTCCCTCAACCCCCACATAGTATGTATTTTAACTGATGAACACCTAAGTTAGATCTCGGACATTAAAAGGCATTGCATATAGTGTATAGAGAGGAAGTAAGTAGGAAAGCAAAGTTACACAGTCGCAAGGACTGAAATTAAGTTCTACTTGGAGAACTTCCTGAATGAGATGGAATGCCCTTTTATATTAGTGGAACACAAGCAGTAACTCCCAACTTCTGGGAAATCTGACTGCTTCGTCAACCCTCACAAGACTGAGTAACTGTCCAGTCTTGAGAGGTGGATGCAATGGACTTTGATTGCGTAAAAATGGAAGAGAATAGATCTAATAAATCAACACATTTGTGAAATTCAGCATAGCAGGAAAAATACGTTGACTCTTGAACAACAGAGGATAACTGCAGATGGACACAAGGGCACAACAGTCAATTTCCCTGCACCTGCAAAGTTAAAAATCTGGGTATATATGACTCGGATGCCCCACAAATATAACTGCTAATAGCCTGCTGTTTACTGAAAATCTTATTAATAACATGGGCAAAGGACACATTTTACATCTTATATGAAATATATCCTATTACAACAATAATGTAAGCTATAGAAAAGGAAATGTGAGCAAATACATTATTGTAAGCTACGTAAATGATATATTTTCAAGAAAATCTGTGTATAAGAACACCTGTGCATTACAAGGATCAACTTGAGAGCGGGAATAAAGCTTTTACTTCTCTTTTTCTTGTAAGCACCATAAGGACCAAGAGGATTCCCAAAGAATCACAAAGATTCTAATCATAATGTTCCCACCCCAGCTGCAGAAATTGGTTCATCCTGAAGGACCATTCCTCCAGTTTGGAGGTGGTTCCAGAAATGTGAATGACACTCTTAACTTCTAGGGAAGTAGGCAATGGGGCCTGATAGACCTAGCAGATGATTTTCATGGCTAATCTATTTTTCCCCTCAGAGACAAGAAGTCATTTTCACAACAAATGTGATTTTGTTTATTTGTTCTTTCATGCAATGGACAATTATGAATCATCTCTTTGGGACAAACTTGGTGCTAGGCTCAATAGTTATATATTAGACATAGCCCTACATTCCTGTAATTATAGTCTACCAGGAAAGGAAAGAGACATTTCAGCAGCCAGAGTGATAGTATAGTGAAAATGGGGCTAAAACTGCATGCAGTCAATGCAGCATCATTCCCCAGCACTGAATAGAGTCCTCCAAGCCTGCCAAGAGTTATCCCTTAGTGCAGAGCCAGGTGTTAACCAAAAACTAAAAGAAAAATAGAATAAAAGAAAGATAAGGATAATACAATTCAGTGGATCCCCAAGCTGTGCCTTGCACTGAGTTGGGTAATCTTATACATGTACTCTTATGGACCCCCAGAACATAGGAAAGAAGGAATATTAGTGATATCATACAAGTTAAGAGACATTCAGGAACCATTGTTAGACACACAGCTCCGAAAACTATAAGCACCTTCTTCGTGTGCTGCAGGATAGTATGAGTTCTGTGTTGGACTTGTATGAAGGAGGGTATCTGACCCAGGTCAAACAGGGAGAGGCAAAGTAAATGTGGGGAAGAGGGAGGATGCTGTAATGTGTGGAGTGGTACCAGAAGTCCCTGTGAGAGGAGGGCCAGAGGCAAGAGTGATAATTCTGTCACAGGAAGAGGCTAGAGGACATGGTGATTAGCACAGGAAGACCAAACAGACCTACCAGAGATATTCAGATGATTTCCCCAAGATGAGTTTTTTTTCTCCAAAATATACTCCACAGTATATTTTGATTGTTTTGAGATCAGTTGCAAGCTCTACTAGGGAATTGTCACAACTTTTGGTGGATGAAACTGTTTTGTAAACAGAAAGAATATTTCATTTCAATAAAGTAATGACTAGGTCCTATCACTAAAATGAGCAAATATCAATTCCTGGTTCTCAGCTGCTTGTTAATCTGCCTATGGCCATTAGCCTAGATCATAATTGCTAATTAATTAACAAAGTCCTATAGCAATCAGATATCTTGCACACAGATACAGCTGGTCTTTCTGAGTCTTCTGCTCTGTTGTCACCTGACCAGGCTGACTGCACATTTATATTTGGGATCTCTGGTGGTAACATTCTTGGCCAAGTGTGCTTGATATGGCTTCTGGTGCTCATTCAGAACCTTGAATGAGCGGATAGGGCATTTGCCTTGCATGTGGTCAACCTGGGTTCAATCCCCAGCATCCCATATGGTCCCCCAACAACACCAGGAGTAATGCCTGAGTGTAGAGTCAGGAGTAACCCCTGAGCATTGTCAGGTGTGATCAACTCACACCCCACAAAAAAAAAAATCAAAGTCTCAGAACCTTGAGTGACAATAGTATGGTTGAGATAGGTTTAATTTACTAGCTCTCAAATTTCAGCTGGTGAATGACTCTTGGGGTCCTCCTAGCCTGTAAAATTGACTTTAACTATTCTGCTGGTTTACTGTGGGGTTTTCCATTTCCTGATCCTTCCCTTACACTGTCCCCACTTTGTGTCCCCACATAAAGTCTAGACCATATTACTGATCCTGTCTGCTAGGTTCCCACGTGGAAGCAAGAGTTCTGGGCTTGCTCCTTGTCAAACATTCTTATGTTGCTGTGTCTGTTACTTCCACTCCATTGTAAAGCCTATGAGGGCAGGGAGGCATAGAGTTTCATTCCCTCATTGGAATTCCCTCTCTTTTCCAGTGCAGGTTACACACTGAAGTTTCCAAGGAACATTTGCTAAGCTCAACCCTTGAGCAAATACACAATGAGGACTGAGGTGCTGAGCTGAGGAATCAGAGTGTTTGGCTGCAAGTCCCTGGAAAATAGAACTGTGGAAACTGGCATGTCAGGACACAGCCCATGTACGGCGCCTGGTACGCACTCAGTATCAGCTTGAGTTTGCCAGAGGAAAGAAGGAACAAGTCAGTGAACCATGAAGTGCATGCCCAAATAAATCACAATGTTCTTGACTTCACGAACTCCTTAGGAGGCAAGAGGTAAGTGCAGAAAATGAAATAGTACGGGGAATGAGTACAGGAGTGGGCAGGGTACTTGAGGAAGGGGAAAGTGATGACCACAGAAACATGCTGTCCTCCTTTCCTCTGCTGGGGTTTTACCAGCCCCTGCCCACTGCAGACCCTAAACCATCTGTGCATAGTGTGCTCTTCCATCATGCTCCCTTTCTCTGCAGCTCTGCTCCTAAGAGATACAGCTCACAGGTGGCCCCCACAGTTGCTCCAGGGCTTCCCCTCTCAGTCACCTCACTGTGGTGGAGAGAAGGGACAGATGGGTTATCAGTCACAAGGTACCCCCCCACACACATACACATGACACTGTGTACGCCGAAATGTGGGCCAAGGGACACAGCTGCTTGAAAGCCACATGCTGACCCTCCTGTGTTCCCGTACATATCCACCCTGTGCAAGGTTGAATTTGTAACACAAAAGCTACACGCCACCAACCCTGAGTGCCAGTCTCCTTTAGACAGTCACCCTGTGTAGGGCTGAGTGTACATGAAAGCCACGTATCAACTCTCTGTCCAGTCACCTTCACAGTGCTCAGAGGCTAGCTCCATACTTCCCTGGGTGACTGTGCTGCCAGGCTTCCGGGGTATTAATTGTGTGACACACTGGTTCTCAGTCATGGCAACTTTGCTCCCAGGGTACGTATGACAATGTATGGGACATTAAGGGTTACCACAACTTGAAGGGACAGGTGTTACTGAAATAAAGAGAGAATAGAGCCTTAGGGGTCCTCCTTTTTGTGTACCATACATCACCCTGAGTGTCCACCCTGTCTGTTGTCCACCTTGCTTATACAAGGTATTGTCTATTTTCCACTATACAGAACAAGTCTCACCCCCACCCTGCAATGCATAGGACAGACTCTTGTGTTACAGTACAGAGGATTGCCCCAGCCCTGTTCACACCATAGAGAACATGGGGCAACCCTCATGGCCTGCTGACCTGAAGTTCAGAGTACTGAGGTCATGGGGCTGGAGCGATAGCACAGCGGGTAGGGCGTTGGCCTTGCACGCGGTCAACCTGGGTTTGATTCCCAGCATCCCATATGGTCCCCTGAGCACCACCAGGAGTAACTCCTGAGTGCAGAGCCAGGAGTAACCCCTGTGCTTCGCTGGGTGTGACCCCCCGCAAATTAAAAAAAAAAAAAGAATGCTGGTCACTGTGTCTTTGAAGACTGACCTGGAGAGAATTTGCCTAGAGCTGCATAGGACTTGCAGCAGGACTGCGGTTGGCCCTGCTATCAGCAACTTGTGGACTGCAGCTCTAACCCTAACATCTAGCAGTCTGTTCTACACACAGCCCTACAGTTTCAGCAGCACACTCATGAGTGTCCAGAACTTCTTAACTGTTCTATTTACTGGCATGACACAGGGGTAATAGGGAAGCCATAAAACGGCGTGGCCCCCTGTCACCACTTGCCCACAGCAACAGGAAGAGCTCATGCAGTGACCCAAGTCCTGCATCGAAGACTAAGATTCTCCTGCTACAGCTGCTCCTCCTGTTTATGAATCACACACCACTCTGAAGGTTCACCCTCTTTGCTGCCCACTTTTGTGTCAATTTCTTGAAGCCCCCCCACAAAGTCTCTCCGAAGCCCCCAAATCCTGTACCTCCTTTTGCCTGAGGTGCTGTTTGGGCATGGTTGGGTTCCCCTTCCAGAGCTCAGTCAAGCCCTCCAGGAAGAGTCCATGCCTTGACTACTAACTGCTTGGGGCACCTCCTATACCCTCTAGCCACAAGCCACTCCATTTCTTCTAACAAGTTTCCATTCCTGAGAGAGGCCATATCGAAGACTGTACTATAAGGAGTGGAATATGTATGCCTTATGTGAATCTGGAGCCTCCCACAGAGCATGGGAAAGGGTCCCTATGAAATGATGCACTCAAATTAACTCAGGGCCCACTTTTTGTTTGGGAGAAGTTTCCCCGAAGCATAAACATCCTTAGCCTCATCACTACGTCTCTATCCTCTGTGTGAATTTAGGGGATATTCTCAGTTTCTGCACACCCACACTTCTCCATGGAGGCCAACGTCGGCAGCCAGCCCAGGGTGCTCTGTTCGCTATGTTTTCACAGGGCTTCACAGGAAGCAGCTAGATAGTGCAGAGTTCCTTCTAAATTTAGAAGCAGTCTGATGTTTTCAATTCATTTTCGATAACTGCGTTGGGTGCAGTTTCTAAATGACTGGCCAGGGTGCCCTTGTCACCCAACCAGGATGTAACTGTGTTACCAGCCTTCAGTGTTAAATACTGACCCTGGGTGGGAGACCAGCTGTGTGACTCTAGGCATGTTATTTGAGACTCTGCTGTTACCATGAAATTTGGGTATATGTGCATGGGGAAGTAAGGGGTAAAATAAGGGGAAAGGAGTAGTGGGGGCATGGGGCTAGAGCTCAGAGAATGAGACCCCGAGTCATCACTGCCAGTTCAAGAGGTTAACTCCTAGTTGCCCAGACTTGGCATTTCTGCCTTTTTTCTTCTTCCTCTACAAACCCACAGTCCCCATGATCTTGCCTTTACCTATTAGAGACTCACTTATTACAAATAGAAACCATATCTTAATTTTTAAGTTGAATTTTATGTATTTATTTTCCAAGGAGAACATACTTTACTAAACCTGGATGTAGGATTAGCTTTATGCTTTTGAAGAAACAGCTCAATATCAGGTGTTGACTTCCTCACTCTCCTAAATTCATTTTTTTTAAGTTTAGCATTTGAAAAGCTTAGAGAGTGGCTGAAAAGACTACTTAGCTGACTAATTTTGCATTTCATTTATTTTATCTACTTTGTGGTACTGGGGATCAAACCCAGGGTCTTAGGTTTATGAGGCCTCTAGCACTAAGGATTTGATTCCTCAGTACCTCTCAGCGAGCTTGGCAAGCTACCGAGAGTACCCCACCTGCATGGCAGACCTGGTAAGCTCCCTGTGGCCAAAAACAATAACAACAAGTCTCACAATGGGGACGTTACTGGTGCCCACTTGAGCAAATTGATGAACAATGGGAGGACAGTGCTACAGTGCAGCATTAAGGATATAATTCCCACTCTGGGCAACTTCGTTTTCATAAGTTGAAATGACAGATCACTCAAAAATCAAATTATTTCTTCCTGCAAAATTCAGAATATATTTTTTTTCAAAGTCATTGGGTTATGTCAGAGGATCAAGTAATACTAATGTCTTTTCTTATTTTATTTTCTAATTGACTTATCATTGGTTTACAAAATGCTAGAAAATTACCATAACAAACTTCACACCTCTCAGGTGTAAGACCCTTAGCACCCACCCACTTTGATTCCAAAGTTCTGGAATCAACTCACTATTTAATGGCACCTCTTTGGGACCTTTGCTAATAAATATAATAAGTTTTCTACCTATAGTGAACTGATATTACTAAACCTTGCAAATCCATAACATTGTTTGCCTAATGATTGACAGAGTAATGAAAAAGGGGGAAATGAAATATGCTTATGAGAAGAACTTACTACACATCCTAAGGCATAGTAAATTCTTGATTTGAGAAAAAGGAAGTAGCCCCCACAACTATTCCTTCCACTTGTCTTCCCCTTTCTTAAAAATTTAAGCCCATCAAAATAACTGCAAGTTGCATCTACTTCCTTCACCTAGATTGACCAAGCTTAAGCTATTGGCCCCATTTGCTTTCTGTCACTCTCCCTCTCTTTCTATATCTCCAAGGTTTCTTTCAGTGAGCCTTCTGAAAATTGCAGACATCATGATATCTGTCCTCCAAAAACACATCAAGTACCTGCTAACAATGAACACATTCTGCACATAACTCACAATACCATCATCACCTTCTAAGATCATATTGATATCATATTATGTAGTTGGAGTCTATAGTAGACTATTCCTACTTCCGCTCACTCATGCTCTTTCCAGTCTTTTCCTTCCACACAGGATCCTTGACAGGCAGCACACATGCATTAAATTGCCTTATTTTCTTTTACTCCTGGGGAAAATATCATTTTTTTCCACAAGCTTTCTAATTTCTTCTGGTTGTAGCACAGTCAAAGGGCAGTGTGCTTTTCCCAGGAAGGCTGCTGGGTTGCTTCTTTCTGAATAGGATTCCAGGGATCCTCTGCAGATGCAGAAATGCAATGATGCAGAGGTCCACTGCATCATGTAAAGCTTCTGCAGAAGCAAAACCTCATCAGGACTAGAGACTCTGCTCCAAGATGCATTCATCAAGGACATGCAGAAGCAGTCAGCATTGGGAAATGAGAAAAGGGAAGCAGTAACTTTGAGCTGGAGCCTCACTGAATCCACTTGTACACTCAGCCTTCTCTGCCTTTTGATTAGAACAAAGAGAACTCCCAGCTCTAAAATTTTGAGTGGTGTCTGGATATTTAGAATGAAACTTTCCATATTCTCTAGGGCTGTGTGAAATAATAATAAACAAACTCAGAACGCAAACACCAAGTAACGCTTCTCTCCTCCCTTAGAGAGAGAAGCCTGTCCAGAGTGGCTGAAAACAGGAACTGTCACCGCTGTGAGTCCCCTGCCTTCCTTGTTTCTAACAGAGGAAGTGTGCAGCTGGTTTAGCAACTGCTGGGCTTGATAGCATGGGCTTCTCTACACCCTGGGGAGCAGGCTTACTTCAACAGAGCAGCAGCAGCTGATGGAGAAGTGGTGATGGTGCTCCTCCTTGCAGTCCCCTTCATCTGATCCTGGGGATACCATGCCCGACTTCTGAAGGTACTTTTGGGGATGTGGTCGGGGCAGAACAGGAGAAAGTATGTTCCTTTAGACAGAACTGGTAGTGAGTTGATTTTCTGGGGACAGGCAACAGCCCCACTGCCACTCCTGTCCTTGAGAACAGGCAGAACACTGTCTCAGGGAGACCCAGCAGCTACTGGGAAAGCTCCGTGTCATATCCAGCTGCCCTGTCAATGGTTGATGTGTGAGTCCATATGATAAAGGGTGTGGGACAGATAGATCTGTCCCAGGATATTTTCCAGATAATGACCTGGTACATGACAACCTCCCCATTAAGGACAAGGACTTCTTGGCTTCAGACTTCCAAGCTAACAGCCTGGAGCAAGCCATGTAAAAAACAAAATCCACACTTCTTTACTGCAAATAGGGGATAATGGTACACAAAGCATGCCAATAACTGGGCAGATATGATCTAGATGCTTCAAATGTTCAGGAGCCAGCTTGTACTCATAGTAGGTGCTCCATAAATGTTCTGAACATGGAGTTGTGACTTCCAAAGGTGCATGAGATCCACCAGGGTGGGGGTTGTGCAAAGGACAGATCAGAAAAGCGCTTCTAGGCATGTTGGTATGAATCTGGGAAGAGGCCAACCTCATATCCAATAACAATAACAAAGATGGTGGTTGTGTATGGGACAAGGGTTGGTAAGCATGTAGTGTTTATCAAGTCTAAAAATAAAAAAAAATTGGAGGTCAGGAAGATTTTGAAGAATGACAATTCTGCAAGGAAGGTAGACACATTCTATTGTTAGATTTCCATATCTAACATGTCAGAAAAATGACTGAGGTTTTGCCTCCAAACATGCTGAAAAGATGGAGTGTTGATATTTGCCATACTGAGCACCAAGTCAGACTATTGCATGAAAAGTTATTTTCTTACAGTTTAGAAAGCAATCTTACAAGATTATGGTGATTATTTACTTTTGAAAATGAAAACAAATTAGGCTCAGAGAGGATAAATGATTTATCCCAGTCATGTAACTATTATCCAAGAGCTGTGTATGGAGATGGTGGGAGCAGGTGGGGGTGGGCGTGGGATTCTGGAATAGTGAGTGGGTAAAGGCCCTAAAAATGTGTTTTTAAAACATTGCTCATTATTTTAGGAGACATATGCCACAGAGTTTGCAAATTGTTATTCTATGATTTGTTATGAGATGCTAAATCACAAGTTTAATAAACTGGGTTCTGTTTCTTTTAAAATGGGGAAAGCAAGCCCATATTAAATTTCTGGTAAAATCTCTTGCATTAGGGGCTGTTAGAAAAATGTTATTCTCAGGGCCAGAGAGATAGTACAGCAGGTAGAGAGCTTGCTTTGCATGAGCCTGACCTAGGGTTGATCTTGGGCACCATATATAGTCCATCAGCAAGAGTGATCTTTGAGCACAGTTCCAGGAATAAGTTAACCCTGAGCATAGCTGGGTGTGGACCAAAAAGCAAAACATAAAAATGCTATCTGAGAACTATCAATGTGTTCTGAAAATACAAAATTAAAAAAAAACATATTAAAGACTTTAGGAATAAGCAGATTGAAGCCTGTCTTTATGCCTATATTCTAAACATATCTGGGAGCAGAACAATTTCATGAAAAGCCATTGCTATTGTTAGTTGGATCAACCTTCCAGTAGCTGTCAATGGGCAGTGTGAGTCCCAGAAAGCTTTCTGCCTCTTTCAGTGCCAGGGTCCTACTCTAGAAAAGAAGACCACACTCCCTTGTATGTTCGTGGGAGTTTTAAATGATATATAATATGGAGGAGATGCTAAATTGCAGCTATTAATATTATTCCTAACCCAGACAATTAAAATTTGGCAAGTTTATCAGTTTACAAGAACATGACAACAGGTAATGATAAATATAATGACTCCAACTATGCAGTTGATGAACTGAATAGTCTTCAATATTTCTAAATCCACATTTTTCTTATTTTGACAGAAATTAAACACATATGGGTAGGTATTCATTAAAGAAAACAAAAATCACTTTCCTCACACATTCACAATTTTTTATGCTGGGTTTCAGGAGGTGGCAATGCATTTCCAAGAGGAGTGTGCCTTATTTTAAGGCTTACAAATGATTATTTATGGCAAACTCTAATTAACTTTCTATATTCACGGATGCTGCTGGTTTTTAATTTTTCATTTGACTTTTAGTAAAAATGTATTTGCCTTAGCCCTGAAAGAAGCTGAAATTTAAAATTCTCATTAGGGATTTGGGCTGGAGCAATAGCACAGTGGGTAGGGTGTTTGCCTTGCACGTGGTGACCTGGGTTTGATTCCGGCATTCCTTTCGGAGAGCCCAGCAAGCTACTGAGAGCATCTTGCCCACACAGCAGAGCCTGGCAAGCTCCCCGTGGTGTATTCGATATGCAAAAAACAGTCACAACAAGTCTCACAAAGGAGACGTTACTGGTGCCCGCTCGAGCAAATCAATGAACAACAGGAGGACAGTGCTACAGTGCAGTAGGGATTTATAGGACAGCAGGTCAAACCATTTATTCCTGTCAGCAAACTGTTATCGATGGATAATGTATGTTCAGCCATCCATCCATCGATAAACCCTGTCCTCCTGTTGTTCATTGGTTTGCTCGAGCGGTTGGAGAGCTCAGCAAGCTACCGAGAGTATCTCGCCCACACGCAGAGCCTGGCAAGCTACCCATGATGTATTCGATATGCCAAACACAGTAACAACAAAATCGATAAACCCATCCACCCATTATTTTATTCAGCCATCCAGTCATCCAATCATTCATCCATCTATCCTTTCATCTATTCTTTATCTATCCATCTCTCTTTCCTACCATAAATATACTTATGCCTTCCTTTTAAAAACATGCATTGAGACCATACCATGTGACTGACTTCCTCCCTTTCTCACTAACCTAAAAGTTCCAAAGGAAATAAGTATATTAGGTCCAAGCCACTTCCTCTCATCTGAGAACCTCCAAGGAAGATGGCTTATTTCATTACAGTAACCATCGGGCCTTACGGGGCTATGACTCTCTTTGGCTGTTAAATAGTTTTGCAAAGTCATACTTCCCTCCTCAGCATCTAGCAGGCTGGCACCATGTGGGAGGACTTGGGGTGTGGTAGTGGGAGCTGAAAAGACTCAGAATCACTTTACAAGAACGTGAAAATTGTCTTTCTGGGTGTCCGGGGGAAAATAGTCAACTTGCTAGGACTGTGCTGACTCTGGAATATTAGCATGATCTGCCTGCACTATCCCAGTCACTTTTATAGACACACCCTTCAATCAAATCAGTTCCACAGTCAGCCACTTGATGTAATTAAGTAGTACTTATGATGTTCCAGGTGCCTGCAGGCAATGAACTTTCATTGAGGAATAGAATAGATATGGACCTGTTCTTAGGAAATTAATAGCCTGTGGGTAGGAGTGAGAAGTACACACTTAAAAAAAATAATTAGTTGTGCTCGGAAGGGGAGAAACAGCTCATAACAGAGCAGAGGAATCAGTTTAGTGAGTGACTGACCTAGGTTGAAACAAATTCTCATATTTACCCTGGCTCAAAGTCAGGCTTCTTCCCAATTAACATCACATGCCTTATTGGCTCCCCTATACCTTCTGAGTCACATGAGAAAATGGCTTAAAATTATTTCCTCTGAATATATATTCTAAGCACCCAGATTGCCAGGACCCATTTCTCATCTAGGTTCTATCAATAAACCTGTTGGTTCACTTACTCAATAGCGGTTAGTACATGATGATCCAGCAAACCAGGTAGTAGCACAGTTAAAAAGGAATCAGAGCCGTTTCATTCAACACTCTATTTACTTTCTTAGGCCAAACAACCACAGTGCTAAGACTCATGCTCTGCTGCCACAAGCATTTAATTAAATCTTATTTTCATCTCTTGCCAACTGGACAACCTGAGTCAAACTATATAAATTTCCCCAGTTATGCAAAAGGTAATGATAGAGACATATCCGACATAGATTCATTGTGAGGGACAAAACACCAAAGGCACAGTATTCCATAAGACAATGTGTCTCCTCTTTGTTTTCTGTTGCTACCAACTAGACATCATAAGGAGTTGGGCCCATGTTGTGCTGAACATAGGGCATTCTCCAGCTGTTCTGAAATACTACTTTTATAAAAACTAACATCACAAGAAAGAAAGTGTATTGTCCAAAGTCTCAGAGACGCTAATAAGCTCAACATATGGGTTCTTAAGACACAATGTGCATAATTCAAAAATGAAGAGAAAGACCTCGTTAGCACTGAGACTCAGCTTCCATCTGTAAGGTGCATTGAGACATCAGTGTAATACTGAAGCACCCAATTTAGCCCCTCCTTGGATAGAACGCTCATGTCGATTAATGTCTCTTCTCCTATAGAGACAAATGAAGGTGGCATGAGCTCTGTGCAACTGTTTCAAATTAAAATAATGGTCAAAACAAAGAATAGAGTCACTCCTATCGGGCCTAGGAAGAGTCTAGTCACTCCCATTGGACCTAGGAAGAATGCATAGTCCTGGTAAGACTGAGAATGCTCCTCTCCTTCCTAACGACATGTTCAGGGATGCCACATTAAAAACATGAAATTTACCATGGTGGGAGTAATCATGTATCACTTAATGATATCTCAGTCAATGACAGGTCCCATATACGACTGTGGTCCAATCGCCATATTATATAACCGAAGTGAGTGGTGGGCTATACCAGCTTGATTCGTGCAAGCATACTTCATGTTGTTGGCACAAGACAAAAACTGCCCAATGATGATGGTTGCGTTTTCCTAAAAGTATTCCTACCACTAAATGAGACCTGACTGTCTATAGGTACAAAAATGGAAAGATACTGCAAATGAGAGCTACCCCCATCACAATGGTATTGACATATGCACCACTAACTACTCCCTACCAGACACATTGCCTCTTCAGTTTTTATCTGTTCCTTTTTATTCCTTGTGGAGCATTAACTATGTTCCAGTCATGAGTGAAAATGGTCCCTCATCTTGGTCTCATC